AGAGAAACTGGTCCCGAACGACACGAAGGGACTCAGGGAGACGGGTGACGAGAAAGTAGAGAGTGATGTACATGGGAGGAGGGTTCGCAGCGCGGAACTCAGCAGGAAGGGCAGCGCGGTAGCGGGTGTCACTAGCGCGAAGGTGGGTAACGAGGTCAGCAACAGTGGGAAAGGAAGCGAGGTCAGGGAAGAGAAACGGTAGCATGAGGCGGCTAGGGGTAGCGGAGGAAGGGGAGGAGTAGCGCGCAACTACAGCGTCGTACAAGGCCTGAGCGGTCTTGCACTGACTAAAGTGGGCACGCTCAGAGGAAGGGAGGTGGCGACGCACAGCAAGACGTGCAGCAGCATCGCGGGTCGCCCACTTGGAGCGAACGGCAGAGTCAGCATCAGCAGGTGGGGCAGGGACAGCGCCAGAGACAAAGTCAAAGAGGGAGACCTCATCTACCGCATCACACAGTAAGTACAGCTGCAGGTCCTCGATCCAGACGGCAAAGTCAATGGCCCTCCCCTCAGCGTCAAAAGTGAGAACATTGGGGGTGGCCATGGTAGCAGCTGAAAGTCTCACCGGGGTGGGAGAGTCGGGTAGGTCAGTAGCAGGCGGCTCGGGCTGCTCGGGCGGCTCGGGCGGCTCGGGCGGCTCGGGCAGCTCGGGCGGCTCGGGTACCGGGCGGCTCGGCTGCTGCTGGGCGGCTCGGCTGCTGCTGGGCGGGGCGGCTGTAGCGGAGTGGCGGGGCCGGGACAAGGGACGGCGGGGCCGAGACAGGTGCAGCGGCGGGGCCGCAGGGTGCAGCGGCGGGGCCGGGACAGGTGCAGCGGCGGGCCAGGACAGGTGCAGCGGCGACGGGCCGGGACAGGTGCAGCGGCGGCGGGCCAGGACAGGTGCAGCGGCGACGGGCCGGGACAGGTGCAGCGGCGGGGCCGGGACAGGTGCAGCGGCGGGCCGGGACAGGTGCAGCGGCGGGCCGGGACAGGTGGAACGGCGGGGCCGGGACAGGTGCAGCGGCGGGCCAGGACAGGTGCAGCGGCGGCGGGCCGGGACAGGTGCAGCGGCAGGGCCGGGACAGGTGCAGCGGCGGCGGGCCGGGACAGGTGCAGCGGCGGCGGCCGCGTCGTAGAGGGCGGCAGGGCCGCGGTTGAGCAGGCGGCGGCGGCCGCGTCGTAGAGGGCGGCGGGGCCGCGGCTGAGCAGGCGGCGGCGGCCGCGTCGTAGAGGGCGGCGGGGCCGCGGCTGAGCAGGCGGCGGCGGCTGCGTCGTAGAGGGCGGCGGGGCCGCAGCTGAGCAGGCGGCGGTGGCCGCGTCGTAGCGGGCGGCGTGGCCTCGTCGGAGCAGGCGGCGGGGCCGCGTCTTAAAGGCGGGGCCGCGACTGGACGGCGGGGCCGCGAATGAAGGGCGGCGGGGCCGCAGGGGAAGGGCGACTCGGGGGGGGGTCGCTAAAAAAAAAGGATCGCGCGCCTAAGGGCGCGCTTCGGTGGGCCCTAGGCGAAGTTCCCACAGGGAACCCGCTCTATACCATGTGAAATCAATGAACAGGAATGGAATGACTAAGTCAGAAATTGGTACAAATAGCAAACCCTAGCAACCTGTACCCCATATGGGCTACCCCACTATAGCCTACAAACATGCATCAGCTATAATGTTCCGACACTATGCGCATGCATCTATCGCACATCCACACACGAGGGTACCGTATGTGCACAAACAAACGGATGCAGATCAATGTTTTGATGCAATACAATATCACATTCAATTGTGCGAACCAACGTGGATTGCCGATTAAAAACAACCTTAACAGTAAGAAGAAATGGTCTGCTAGACAAAAGTGAGAGACTTATTAATCTACTAGAAAAATAAGGAACCCCATATGATGGAACATTCTATAGCAGCCATGTGCCTGACTGTCAAGCCGCAAATTGCTCCTTCGTTTTTGTCAAGCTGCAAATTGCGCCTGCTCACGCTGTAAATGGCTGAACAATTCTTGGGTGGCGCTCAATAATATGTGTTGTCCGAAACGAAGGTCTACATACATCCCTCCACATTACTGCATTTGAAGTCGACAGATCGTGACGGTCCAAACCGTCGATCCGGGGGTTGATATGTACCGACGTCCCTGCAACGTTCTGTCGAGGGGTGTGGAGGTTCGTGCGAGCGCGAAGGCTGCATGCTCTGCTGTACACGTCAGCTCCTGCGGTGATTTCTGTTTTTGACAGACCCAGCACTGTACAGTACATTTCCAACCACACAAGTCTGCCTCTTGCTTGTGACAAATTCGAAACTCCTCAGGGGGCTCGTTCGAACACCCCTGACGCAGTCGCTTCTTTGGTTCCAACACATTTCACTTTCTAGAACCGGTAGCGGTCGGTAGCGCCCGGTAGCGCTACCGACCGAGTCAGCAAGCTGACCGCGGGCAAACAAATAAACCCCATGGCTTACGGCATGCCATTCGGGAGCCTCAACCCTAAAATTTTAGGGTTGAGGCTCTCTCGGATGGCATGCCATCCGAGTGGGTATTAGTTTTTTTCTTGCCCGCGGTCAGCTTGCTGACTCGATTGCACTGCCTGCTGACGCAGGCAGTGCAAAAAATATTCCAGATTTTGTCTTTTCTGAAGGGTGTGGTTCAGTTTTATACTAAACCTAAGGTCGGTGTGATTTTTAGAACCAGCCCTTAGTGCTCTAGCTCATCAGATGAGCAAACTGAAGTGCACTCCGCACCCCACTCGCTTTTTTAGAACACATCACAGAGCGAGCGCGCCCTGAGTAGTGAGTGTGGCTTGGGCTTCCTCGTCATTCTCTTGCCTCAGCCTTACTGCCAGCAGCCTCTCTCACCTCTCACCCTTGCCAGAGCGCCGTGTTTTCTTGTTTCCAATTCCAATGGGCAGTGGCTTTGACAGCACATCGCTCCGCGCTTGCGTCCAATACCTTCGGGCATTTGATTTCTCCGTTTCCCCGTTTTAGTCGATTATTACAAACGTTTTTTTGTTTTACAGGATATTCATAATATTTTTTCGACTCCGCAGCAAACGCGCAGCTTGGGACAAAAAAAGAAAACCCTCATGGATGGTGGCCACCTAGAGGGCATCAACCCTAAGCACCATGAGGCAGTGTGTTTAGGGTTGATGCCGCCCAAATGGCTAGTCATCCGAGTGGGTTTTTAGTTTTTCCACTGCCTCTATACTGAAACCAGGTAGATGTCGGATTTTCCCTTTTATACGTTTCGTCACGAGAAATAGGAAATAACAATAAAAACTGCCCGTGGGAATTCGGCGCGAGCGCGGAGGGAGTCGCTGTCAAAGCCACTGCCGAAAGGAATCGAAAACGAGCAATCAGGGCGGTCCGTCATTTCCTCCGATCCATGGCTTGCCCTCGATTCATAATGGCCCCGCACGCTGGTACGTGCGTGGCCTTAGTTTCCCTTGCTTGCAGATATTAGATTCTTCGTTGCAGTACGAAATTAGGTCAAGTTACATTTCCCAAGCAATTCGAAATTAGGTAAAAATGCTCACGTGGTTTTGTAGTTTCTATTTGATTTAGGTAGATCTGTACGCGAAACTACCGTCGAGTTAAGCAAAGCGGAACGATACGAAATTAGGTCAAGTTACATTTCCCAAGCAATTCGAAATTAGGTAAAAATGCTCACGTGGTTTTGTAGTTTCTATTTGATTTAGGTAGATCTGTACGCGAAACTACCGTCGAGTTAAGCAAAGCGGAACGATACGAAATTAGGTCAAGTTACATTTCCCAAGCAATTCGAAATTAGGTAAAAATGCTCACGTGGTTTTGTAGTTTCTATTTGATTTAGGTAGATCTGTACGCGAAACTACCGTCGAGTTAAGCAAAGCGGAACGATGCGGTGAGTTAACGTGTTATTCCCGCCGCACACGCTATGTTAGACAAAGCGGCGATTTAGTTCCCGTGTGTTGTTTCAAGTGACATTTTCAGAGCCTTAGTTTCCCCCTTCGTCTTCCTCTATTCCCCCTGTCGACATCCCTCGTTTAACCCATCGACCTCCTCCCTTCCCCCCCATTAAACTACTCCCTTTCCTCCCAGGCTCGGTGAGGGAGCAGCAGTCGCGGGCGCGAGCAGAAGGGCGTGCGCGCAAGCAGCAGGGCGTGGGGATTGGCGAGCGAGAAGCGCAGCTCACGGCGGCTGCTGCGCGACCCCGCAGATCGGAGCAATCACTTCGTGGCCTTCGATTACGATGCTAAAGTCAGCGCCAGGTGCGTCCTCGTATTAGTCCATTGTTAAGCACCACGCAAAACAGAAGTCGTTGCGTTGCACTTGTGAAAGGCTGCTCATAAGTTCACCCTAAACTCTTTTCAGCTCTCTCATTCTTTTCAACTCTCTCACTCTTTTCAACTCTCTCACTCATTTCAACTCCCGCACCGATTTTGAGTCCCTCGTTAAGATCGCTGATTTGTAAGCCCATTACTGATTTCAGCTCTCACTCATTTCGATTCCCTCACTCATTTCAACTCCCTCCACTGATTTCAACCCCCTCACTCATTTCTTGACTCATCTTAACCCCCCCACTCATTTCACTTGCTTCGCTCATCACAACCCCCCCACTGATTTCACCTCCTCCACTCATCTCACCCCCCTCACTGACAATTTATTTTGTTTGCTTCCTTCTCTTCCCCCCATTTGTTCCCCCACCTGGTCTCTGTTTGCACTGTGTTGTAAAAACAGGTACGTACAAAGGCTTGTGCGTTTCCTTGGCATCTTCATCAAGACCATTATTGTTTTTGTTGTAGCACTACTACATTAGTGGGAGATGCTTTGATGTGCATTGAAGGCTAGGGAAGCCTAGGGGCCCGAAACAAATGCTTTGTCATATTGAAAAGGGATGGGTGTTTAGGAGATGGGGGAAAGGGTGCAGGGGATAATGGGAAAAGGGGGACTGGCCTGGTTTTGATGTTGGGTGAGGGTGTGTGAGGTTGGGTTATGGCTGGCAAGAGTGGGCAAGGGTGGTCGGCACGGGTCGGCACGGGTTGGCATGGATCGGCATGGGTCGGCACGGGTCGCACGGGTCAGCGTGGGTCGGTGTGGGTCGGCGTGGGTCGGCGTGGGTCGGCGTGGGTCGGCGTGGGTCGGCGTGGGTCGGCAAGGGTCGGCAAGGGTGGGGGGGGGGTCGGCGAGGGGTGGCAAGGATCGGCAAGAGGGTCGGCAACGGCCGGCAAGGTTTGGTAGGGGTGGGGGAGGGGGTTGGCATGGTCGGCAACGGTCGGCAATGTTTGACAAGGGTGGGGGAGGGGGTTGGCAAGGGTCCGGGGGAGGATGTCGGCAAGGTTAACGAGGGTCGGCACGAGTTAGCATGGGTCGGCAAAAGCCGGCAAGGGGGTTGGCAAGGGTGGTAAGGGGGTCGACAAGGGTCGGCAAGGGTTGGCGGCAAGGGTTGGCAAGTGGGCCGGCAAGGGTCGGCAAGGATCGGCAAGAGTTGGCAAGGGTTGGGAAGGGTCGGCAAGGGTTGGCAAGTGGGCCGGCAAGGGTCGGCAAGGATCGGCAAGAGTCGGCAAGGGTTGGCAAGTGTGTCGGGAAGGGTTGGCAAGGGTCAGGCAAGGGTTGGCAAGGGTTGGCAAGTTGGTCGGCAAGGGTCGGCAAGGGTCGGCAAGTGGGTCGGCAAGGGTCGGCAACGGTCGACAAGGCAAGTGGGTCGGCAAGTGGGTCGGCAAGGGTCGGAAGGGTCGGCAAGTGGGTCAGAAGGGTCGGCAAGGGTCGGCAAGGGTGGGCAAGGGTCGGAAGGGTCGCCAAGTGGGTCGGCAAGTGGGTCGGCAAGGGTCGGCAAGTGGGTCGGCAAGGGTCGGCAAGTGGGTCGACAAGGGTCACCTCTCCATCCCAAGCTTGGTCTCGCCCCTCCTAAACCCCCCAGCATGACAGGAAAGGCGGCATTGTGGCGTTGAGGCAGGCTTGAATCGTCAACCGCTCCCGCACTCTCCTGCATCTTCTCCCACTGGTGAGCGCAAAGCGAGAATGAGAAAGAATGAGAGATAAAATATGCAAGGTGAAATCCTCAATCAGTAGATATGAAAGTGGCTAAGGGGGGTAGTTAGGGTATCACCGCAACTATGTTTTATCCTTGCGAAAAAATAATGAGTAAAACTTGCCTCTCAACTCGTCGTCCCTGCCCAACCCTCCCTTTGGGGGGATGGGGGAGGGGGCATCAGGATAGGCTGGAGGGTACTTATTTCACCCTTTCCGCCCTGCAAAATCCCCCCTTTTTGGGGGGAGGGGGGGCCTTGGGGGCCTTGGGGGGGTCCTGGGGGGATGGGGGAGAGAACCAGAGTTTGTTGCAGGGAAACATTTCACCCTTTCCGCCCTGTAAAATCCCCTCTCTTGGGGGGGAGGGGGGGCCTTGGGGGAATGGGGGAGCGCATTCTCTCTGCCCTTTCCCTCACACCCTCCTCTCTGCAACACCCCCCCTCGTTTCCCGAGTTTTTTGCATAAGCTTTTCCCCTTCTCCCCTATTCCTCCGTCCACCCCGCCCTCTCTGGGTGCGCGCAGAGCAGAAAATGAGACGCGAATCGAAGGAGGGTGTGGATGGGGAGGAGTTGGGAGCGGCGGCAGCAGCAGCAGTGGCGTCGCGTCGCCGACTGCTGCGGGCTGTCGGGACACGTTGGGGGACGACGCGGGCGATAAAGCGGCGCAGGCGCGGTCGAAGCTGTATCCATCGGCGCTCAGCGAAGGCGGTGGCGACGTGCTAATAGTGAAAGCAGGAAGGCCGCCCGCGGATGCGCATCGGGCCAGGGGCGGCATGTTCCGCAAGAAGCAGCAGCGGGGGAAGGGCAGGCGGAGCGTGTTCGTGTACGAGCTGGTTCGCGCGCCGGCGGCGGTAGGCGGCGGGGATCAGGGGGGGCACAAATTGCCGCGCGCGAGAACAGCAGGCGCAGCAGAGAACGGCAGTGCTGGGTTTCAGGGGTTGGAAGGCGCGGAAGGATTCACAGAAGGATCGGCGGAGGGTGCAAGAGGAAAGGCGCGGGGCTGGCAACAGCGGTCGCTGGATCGAAGCGACACGCATAGTGACATTGCTGACGTGGACGAATGGCGGAAAGAGATGGAAAAGTATCTGGCGGAAAAGGAACCGCGGGCGAGCCATGATTCGAGTCAAAAGCACCTTCAAAAGGAACAACAACCCACGAGAGAGGAAAGGGGAACGGGCGGCTTGAGAGGGGAACAACACGAACGGGAGAACGGCAATTGGGGGTTGCGTGACAATGATGATGACTCGTTAGGAGCAAGCGGTCGCTCTTGTAACGCGTACGGCGATTGTGACGAGGGAAACTACAGCTGGCGCGCCACAAAGCAGCGAAGGGGAGGCGGGAGTCGACCGGTGGGACCTGGACGCGGATATCGAGGCGCACTGTAGCGAGGATGGAAGCAGCGCCGTGCTGTCCGCCGACACGAGTGGCGGCGGCGAAGACGCGTGGGGCGTTGGGGACAGCAGCGGCAGCGAGGACCAGCGAGCGAGGCGGCAGGGGCGAGATGAAGAAGTAACAGAGTTGGGAGTGGATCGGGAGGAGTTGAGAGCAGTGAGGTGGGACGAGGATTGGTTTGAAGAGGCGGATGATGGGGTGTTGCTGGTGGACGAGGGGCGGGTCGTGCTCGCGGCAGCATCGGCTTCTGGGTCAGACAGTGGCGAGCGCAGCGGAATCAGAGAACAGGGGAGTGCGCGGGGTTGTGAAGGAGCATCCGCGCGCGTTGCTCGTCCCGCGGCTCCTACTGCTGCCGCGCCGAGCGCATCTCCCCCCGCTGGCGCAGCAGTCCCTTCCGCTGCGCCGCCCCGCGCCGTCCGCCAAGCCAGCAGCAGGGCCGCTGTTGCGCGCGCTGCAGCTCAGGCGTTTGGCGATAGAAGCAGCGGCGACAGTGACGGCAACCCCGGCAGTGGTAGCGACAGCAGCAGCAACAGCAGGGGCAGCAGGGAGGGCGAGCGACCCGCGCTGCTGCGATGCGAGGGCGTGCTGGGGAGCAACCGCGTGCGCGCGTTCGACCCCAGCGAGTACGAGACAATGGCAGCTGCAGCAGCAACGGATGCTGCAGCCAAAGCTGTGCCTGAGGGCTGTGCGGGCGCACGTGCAGTGGCAGAGGGAGGGGCGAGGGAAGGCCGGGGCGAGGCTGAGGGTGATGACGCGGTGGTGACGTCAGCAGCAGCGGCGGGAAGACGTCAGCAGCAGGTGGCGGGGGCATGGTGGCAGTTGGGCGGGGCTGGCGAGGCCGCCAGCAGCAGCGGCGGGCAGGGTGGTGGGAGGCGGAAGAGCAGCAGCAGTGTGGTGAGCAGTGGGGTGAAAAGGGGACGGTCGCGACCGGTAGAACCCCCACCCACACCCCAGAGTCCAAGTTATGACGCACACATAGAGAGCTGCACTTTGCCCTCGATATCCCCGCCAGCCCTACCCCATCCCCCGTCCTCTCGCGCAGCTGCATGCTCTTCATCCAGCCTTTCCCCATCTCCCCGCCTGCCACCCTCCCCTGGCTTGAGAAGGCAGAAATCCGCTGCTGCTGCGCTGGCCTCTGCTGCGCCTCGTGTGTCGCTTGCTGCGGTGGAAACGACTCAAAGGCAGAGTGAGAGGCAGGTTGACTTGTCCGCAGGCAAAGAGGGCAGGGGAGCACGGGGGGAGCGCAGGCCAGCGGTGGTATATCACAAGAGCAGCAGCACAGGCAGCAGCGGGGGAGGAGGAGGCACCAGTGGCACTGGCAATGGCAACAGTGGCAACAACGGTGGCAGGAGTGGCAGCAGCGACGTGTTGGCTAGCCAGAACGGCAGTGCTGCTGCTCAGCCCAAGCGCATCGCCCATAGCGTGACCTACCATCCTGGAGGCAACGCACCCACCAGCCTAGCCACGGCTGGGAGCAACAACAACAGCAACAACAGCACCCACTGCTGCACCTCATCCTCCTCCTCCACCTCTCGCCCCTCTCCCCCGCTCCCTTTGTCACCTCCTCCCGCGTCCCTCGTCCCTCTCCCTTCGCCCCCTTCCATAGTCCCTCGCCCCTTGCTCTCCCTCTCTTTCTCAGCTTCGGTTTCAGCTTCGGCCAAGCCTAGGCCTCTAAGTCGTGCCAACTCCGCTGCCCCGGCCTTGCTGCACCCGCAGCCCATCTTGCTGGCCGGTGGGAAGCGATTCAGCACCCGCTGCCCTGCTGCTGCAGCAGCTGCTGCTGCCGCCGCTGCTACTGCTGCAAACGGCGGTGGTGCTAGTGCTGCTGCTGCAGCGGCTGCAAATGGTGCTGGCGCTGTCTCTGCTCCCAATAATGGTGGTGTCGCTACTGCTGCTGTATCTGGGAAAGCAAAATCAGGGAGATCAGTAGAGGGGGCAGGAATAGCAGGAGGGAAGGGAGCAGTGGGGATCAAAGCGAGTGCGGTGGTATACCACCCAGCCTTCAGCAGCTACCGACACCAGGCTGACGTGGCAGCCCAGGAGGAGGAGGCGAGTCTGAGGGAGCTGGAGCAGCAGCTGGAGAGAGAGAGGAGGAGGGAGGAGGAGGAGGAGGAGGAGGAGGAGGAGGAGGAGGAGGAGGAGGAGGAGGAGGAGGAGGAGGAGGAGGAGGAGGAGGAGGAGGAGGAGGAGGAGGAAGACTTGTTGGCAGAGGCTGGTGAGAGGGGAGTGAGGGAGGTTCGAGTGAGGGAGGGCGAGTGGGAGGAGGGGGAGGCTTGGATGGTAAAGATGCCGGGAAGGGGGGAGTCAAGGAGGCTGGAGGAGCTTTGTGAGAAAGCAGTTGGAATGGGTGCTGGTGGGGTGGGGATGGGGGGATTGGGCGGGATGGAGATGTACTTGGAGTTGGAAAGAGGGGTGGTGAGCATTGGGCCTGGTGTGCATGGCTGGAGAGATCATGCAGTCACATCGCCAGCACCTGTACCTCCTCCCATGCGACGATCCCGCACGGACACGAGGCAGGAGAGGAGGGCACGGGAGCAGCGAGAGGAAAGGGAGCAGATCGAGCACATGGGTGCATGTGTGAAACAAGATGTGGAACTGGAAGCAGCGGCGCCACCCATGCAGCGATCACGGACTGACACGAGGCAGGAGAGGAGGGCACGGGAGCAGCAGGAGCAGAGGGAGCAGAGGGGGCAGATGGGTGTATGTGCAAAAAAAGATGCTGAAACAGTGCCCGCACCACCTCCCATGCGACGGTCTCGAACTGACACAAGGCAGGAGAGGGCGATGAGGGCACGGCAGCAGGCAGTGGCACCATCAGTGAGGGTTGGGGGCAGCGCGCGGAAGGGGAGCAGCGGAGGGGAAGCAGGCAGCGGGCGGGTGTTGCGGCGAGGCAAGACGCAGCCGAGCAGGTGCATGGAACAACGGGAGGGGGTGCCCCGGCGTAGAGAGGGGGACCTGCTCATCCACACCCATGCACTGTGAGTCCCATGGGCAGGGGGCAGGGGGCAGGGGGCAGGGGTGCTGCTGTGCTGCTGCTGTGTGCTGTGCTGCTGCTGTGTGTTCTGCTGCTGTGTGTTCTGCTGCCGTGTGTTCTGCTGCTGTGTGTTCTGCTGCTGTGTGCTCTGCTGCTGTGTGCTCTGCTGCATGTGCTCTGCTGCTGCTGTGTTTTATCCCGTCCCTGCCCTGCTCACTCTTTTCCTTCGCTTGTGCTGCTGCTGTGTGTGTTCACAGAGGACACGACGCAGAGATTCTGGTGCTGGACAACCGATAAGGATAATCATGCGGGTAATATGCGCGTGCTGCATGACGCCATGAAATGATGTTGACAACCTGTAAGGATGACAACAAGCGACGGTGGTTTTCTAGATGTCTCAAAAGTTGGTAGTTGAGTTGAGACGTCTCAAAACGACAACTGACAGTGGGGGGCATGATGACAATGACGACAGTGGCGGGCATGATGACAATGACGACAGTGGCGGGCATGATGACAGTGGCGGGCATGATGACATGACATCACCACAGCAACTGATAATGACGACAACAGCGTTGGTGGCGACACTGCTATTGTCGGCTGCTTGTGGGGCTAAGCTCTTACCCCAAAACCCTGGCATACATTTCATTCCAGACTTAGGCAAGTCCCCGCCCCGCTCCGCTCACTCACGTTTCCTGCAATCTCTGCCATGTTGCTGTCCATCCACCATCATGAATGGCAGCCTCGTGGGTAGTTGACAAGTTTCCACATCAATGTAATGCAAGTGCCAATGGCTTTCATTGTAGTACCCGTCATCGCCCGGATATAAGACATATATGTCTTATCTCATACACTAAAAAAATGCTTGGGTTATCTTGTATTTGGGGAGGTTTTGGGTGTCTTATAAGTCTTATAAATGGAAACTTTTTTAAACTACTTAGAAATATTTTCACGCATCTTGAAAAGAGTTTCTCATTAAGAGTGTGAATGGTTCAAAGGTGCCACTTCGGCAACCATTGTTCGGGATGCCACGTCATCCCGAATACTTGCAGAAGCAAATTTGGTAGTACGTGAGTCAGCACGTGGCAGAATTCGCGTGTCGCAAGGGTAAAGATGTACGCGGCATTTCAATTTTCACTATAATACATGCAGTTTCGATTATAAGACACATATGTCTTATCTCATACACACAAATAGGTGTCGTATAAAAAGGCTAGCCTGTTTATAAGAGACACCCGTATAATAGACAACCCCTGTCTACTATTCAACACTGTCTTATATCCGGGCGATGACGGTACCTCCCATGTACAGCACAAAGCTCGGCTGACTCACTCATCTCATACCATTCTTACTTCCAAATCCCAAATTCATGGAAATGTGTCTCCTACCTCACAACTGATACAATATCAGTGTCACCGAATATGCATGATTATGCATATAAGGTGCCAGAGTATGCGGTGTAGTTATGGTTGTCAGAACATATCTATAGCTTATACTGCTGTGTAGGCTGTAGTGGGGTATCCCATAGGGGGTACAACCCAGTTAGGGTTTCATATTTGTACTGCTTTCATTCATAGTTCATTCATCCCTGCTTACTCTTTTCACATGGTATAGAGCTAGGTCCCTCCAGGACCGTAATTTTTGGGCCCACCGAAGCGCGCCCCCGAGGCGCGAATTTTTTTTTAGCGACCCCTCGAGTCGCTCTCTCCTCTGCGGCCTCGCCGCCCACTCTGTCGCGGCCCCGCCCTGCTCCTTACGCGGCCCCGCCGCCTGCTCCTTACGCGGCCCCGCCCCGGCCCTTACGCGGCCCTTACGCGGCCCCACGCCAGCCCCTTACGCGGCCCTTACGCGGCCCTTACGCGGCCCCGCCCCGGCCCTTACGCGGCCCTTACGCGCCGGCCCCTTACGCGGCCCTTACGCGGCCCTTACGCGGCCACGCCGCCGGCTCCTACGCGGCCCCTCGCCGGCTCCGTACGCGGCCCAGCCCCGGCCCTTTCGTGGCCCCGTCCCCGGCCACTACGCGGCTCCGCGCCGGCTCCTACGCGGCCCTTACGCGGCCCCGCGCCGGCCCCTTACGCGGCCCTTACGCGGCCCTTACGCGGCCACACCGCCGGCCTCCTACGCGGCCCTGCCCCGGCTCCTATCACAGCCCCGCCCCGGCTCCTTCGCGGCCCTGCCCCGGCTCCTACGCGGCCCTACCGCCGGCCCTGACGCGGCCCCGCCCCGTCTCACTTCTACGCGACCCGAGCCGCCTGTCACCGAGCCGCCCGGGACCCGAGCCGCCCTGCAGCCGAGCCGCCCGGGAGCCGAGCCGCCCGGGACCCGAGCCGCCCTGCAGCCGAGCCGCCCGGGAGCCGAGCCGCCCTGCACCCGAGCCGCCCTGCAGCCGAGCCGCCCGGGAGCCGAGCCGCCCTGCACCCGAGCCGCCCTGCCGCCGAGCCGCCCGGGAGCCGAGCCGCTGTACACCTGAGCCGCCCGGTCGCCGTTCTGCTTTTCTGTCGAGCTGCGCGACCTGCCCTGCCTGGTGAGCACAGTCCCACTGTCACTGCGTGCTCTCCCCCCTACTGCTTGCACTGCTTCACAGTCGTCGTCATGGCTACCCCTAGTGTCCTAGCTTTTGACGCTGAGGGTCGCGCCATTGATTTTGAGGTCTGGTTAGACGACCTGCAGCTGTTCTTACAGTGCGACAGGGCTGACGACCTTTCTCTCTTTGACCTCACCTCTGGCGCCTCTCCTGCCCCTGCTGCTGATGCTGATCCCGCTGTCCGCTCTAAGTGGGCCACCCGCGATGCTGCTGCACGTCTTGCTGTGCGTCGCCACCTCCCTACCTCTGAGCGTGCGCACTTTAGTCAGTACAAGAGTGCTCAGACCTTGTACGACGCTGTAGTTGCGCGCTACTCCTCCCCTGCCACTGCTGCACTGAGCCGTCTCATGCTTCCCTACCTCTTTCCTGACCTCTCTGCCTTTCCCACTGTCGCTGACCTCATTACGCACCTCCGCACTAGTGACACTCGCTACCGCGCCGCCCTTCCTGCTGAGTTCTGCGCTAAGAACCCCCCCCCCATGTACATCGCTCTCTACTACGTAGTCGCACGCCTCCCTGACTCCCTTCGCGTCGTCAGGGACCACTTTCTCGCAGTCTGTCCCACCACTCTCACCGTCGACCTCCTCGAGAAGGCCCTCCTTGCAGCGGAGAAGAGCATAGTCGCTGTAGGTGCTTCTCGTGGTGACCCTCGCACCCCCATCTTTGAGGGGTGCTCTCCTTCCCCCTTGCTGCCCTCTGTTGCCTCTGCTGCTGCTGCCGACCTGCTTGGTCTTGAGTCGGTCGGCGCGGCGTCTGCCCCTAGTGGGAGACGTCGCTCCAGCAAGGGCAAGGGGGGCAAGGGCGCGGGTGGAGCTGGAGGGGGCGGTGGCGGTGGCGGCGGTGGCGGCGGAGGGAGTGGGGGTGGCGGCGGGGCTAGTGGCGGGGGTGGTGGTGGTGGTGGCGGCAGCAGCGGCGGAGACGGTGGTGGTGGTGCCAGCGGTGGTGGTGGAGGCAGCGGCGGAGGTGGAGGCGGCGGAGGTGGAGGCAGTGGAGGCGGCAGCGGAGGAGGCAGTAGTGGTGGAGGAGGTGGAGCTGGTCGGGGTGGTACCCAGCAGCGTAGCGGCGGTGGTGGTGGCCAGCGCTCGCACCGGCAGCAGCAGCAGCGCTCGCGGGACATCCCTTCGCCTCAGCAGCTTCGTGAGTGGTACGCTGGGCGTCAGAGGGGTGGGGGTACTGGTCCCTGCACCTACGTTCTTCGTTCCGGCGACCGCGCGGGTGAGCAGTGTGGGGGTGCCCACGCCACCCAGCGCTGCTTTGGCCGCCTGACGGACGCTTGGCGTCAGCAGTTCCCTGGGGCTAGTGAGATCCCTCGCTGGGATGAGCTTCTCAGGGCTGGTGTAGCGATCTTTGATCTTGATTTTGATGCTATCCTTACTGCTATGTATGTTGTGGATTATAGTGAGGAGAATGAGGGTTACCGGTGTTTTCAGCCCGACCCGGGCATTGGTACTGCTGCGCTAGGTGCTTGTGAGGCTGCTGCTCTAGGTGCCAGTGCGTCTGCGCTCTCAGGTACTGGTGAGACTGCGCTCTCAGGTACTGAGTCGTCCTCGTCCTCCCTCACTTTCACGCTTGACTCCGGAGCTTCTCGCTCCTTCTTTCGAGACCGCACTACCCTTTCGCCGCTCGCCAGGCCGGTTGCGGTCTCCCTTGCTGACCCCTCTGGGGGTCCTGTCCTGTCTCACTTCTCCACTGTCCTCCCGTGTCCGGCTGCCCCTTCGGGCACCCTGTCGGGTCTGTACCTTCCCTCGTTCTCTACGAACTTGGTGAGTGGAGCGGACCTGCAGGATGGGGGTGTTCACCAGTTCACTCCTGCGCGTCAGAGGGTGACCCACTGCACGGAGGCTCGCACAGGCCGACACCTGGCCACGTTCTCACGTCGGCCGGGGTCGAGTCTCTACACCCTGACCGTTGAGTCTCCTCCTGTCCCTGAGTCTGGTCAGGTGGCTGCGTCGGGTCAGGTACTTGCTGCTGCGTCCCGGTCAGGTCCTGAGTCTGCCCCCTGTTCTTGTCGCCTCCTGTCTCACGAGACTCTCCTGTGGCACCACCGTCTTGGCCACCCCTCCTTGCCCCGTCTTCGGAGCATGGCTTCCCGTGTCCTTGTCTCTGGTCTTCCCCAGTCTCTCCCTCCTCTCCCCTCCGGGCCAGGACCTTCCTGTGTCCCCTGTGTCGAGGGTCGCCTCCGGGCTACTCCTCACTCCTCCCACTTCCCCCCGACAGAGGCTCCCCTGCAGACGCTTCACATGGATGTGTGGGGCCCAGCCCCCGTCCGTGGGCAGGGTTACGAGCGCTACTTCCTGTTGGTGGTTGACGACTACTCGCGTTACACCACAGTCCTCCCCTTGCGCAGCAAGGGTGCGGTCACTGAGGTGCTGATCGACTGGATCCGCGAGGCTCGTCTCCAGCTCAGGAAGAGCTTCGGCTCGGACTTTCCTGTTCTGCGTCTGCACTCTGACAGAGGCGGAGAGTTCTCTTCTCGCCTTCTGCGAGACTACTGTCGTGCACGGGGGATCCGCCAGACCTTCACGCTTCCGGACTCACCACAGCAAAATGGGATTGCTGAGCGCCGCATTGGCATGGTCATGGATGTTGCTCGTACGTCCATGATGCATGCGGCTGCCCCCCATTTTCTGTGGCCGTTTGCGGTGAGGTACGCGGCGCATCAGCTCAACCTTCACCCCCGGGTCTCTCGGCCAGCGATGTCCCCAGCCTTGCTGTG